AAAAAAATGCATTATACAAACCCAGCCAGTGCTTCTTATAACATGCAAACAAACAAACTTGAAATTTGTGAAAGGCAGATTTGTGCATCAATCTTATTATCCTTATTGGCTACAAATTAGATAAAATTGGGGGAGGGAGGAGAAGAAGTCTGTTCCACATTTTAAAGAAGCAGCCTTCTATGACAAAATTTATTTTACTGTAGGGAATTGTATCTTTTTAATGCATTTTTTCAAGGCCTTTTTTAATTCTTTGTTCCTCAAGCTATAAATCATGGGATTTAGCAAGGGCGGAACAACAGAATAGAGAAAAGCAGCTGCTAGATCTTGACTGACTGTGGAAGTTGACCTTGGTCTGGTATATGTAAAAGCTCCAGTGCCTAGAAATAAACAGACAATGATCATATGTGGAAGGCAGGTGGAAAAAGCTTTGTATCTTCCCTGGACAGAGGGTATCTTCAGCACAGCTGAGAAAATGTAAACATAGGAAACAAATATTATAGAAAAACATATAGAAGCCAATACATAACCAAGGACATACATTAATATGTCATTTATATATGTATCAGTACAGGAGATCTTAAGGAGCTGTGGGACATCACAGAAAAACTGACCAATGATATGGGATTGACAGAAGGATAACCTGAAGGTGTTTGCAGTGTGCACAATAGAATAGAGCATGCTAGCTATCCAGCAACCAGCTGCCATTTCACCACATACACTCCAGTTCATGATCACCTTGTAATGCAAAGGGTGGCAAATAGCAGCGTAGCGATCATATGCCATTGCTGTCAGCAAGAAAAGTTCTGCATCTGCAAAAGTTATAACCAGGTAGACTTGGGCCACACAGCCAGAAAAGGAGATCCGTCTAGAGTTCTTCAAGGCATTCCCCATGGATTTGGGGATGGTGACTGAGATGTAGGAAATGTCAAGAAAGGAGAGGTTTGCAAGAAAGAAGTACATCGGAGACCGAAGGTGATGATCAAAGGTGACAGTGGCAATGATAAGGAGATTCCCTATCAGGCTTTCTAAGTAAATTAGTAGAAATATAACAAAATGGAGCAGCTGCAACTCTCGCTGGTTAGAAAATTCCAGAAGAAGGAATTCATCCACTGAAGTTTGATTGGACATTTTGCACCTCAGATATAGTAACCTGTTTTTAAAAAGTCAGAATACCAAATATTATAGGTTACAATGAACAGAACTAGGAAAAAAAAACTTTCAAAAATTACTAGAGAAGGAAGATGTGAAGCAGAGGTAAGTCCTCTGATTTAGAACTTCCTTGTGGGCAAAAGATCTGAGAAATTTTGTTCCCCTCTCCCCCAAAACAGAACACTCTTAATGAAATTAGTATTTGCAAGAATGTTTAAATCTACATTTAAGGATTTTAACACATTTACTTTAAAGAAAAGCATGAATAAGTAATATTTCAAAGAATTCATTACTAAAGTTCTCTCTTTACACAGCATTATTTTCAAGAACAGTCCCCTCTTCCTCTACATTATATCTCTGTTGCATTAGACATAGCAAAATCTAA